CAATGTTTCTGTTGGATTGTTTGCCTTTTTTTTTTTTTATCATTTTAAAAACTATTAGATATATTAACCTTTGTCATGTGATGCAAATATTTTCTTTTAATCTATCATTTAAGACTTTAGCCAATGGAAAGCTATGGGCTTCTATTTAAAAAATATATATATATATTTTTATTGATTTCAGAGAGGAAGGGAGAGGGAGAGATAGAAACATCAATGATGAAAGAGAATCATTGATAGGCTGCCTCCTGCATACCCTTCCTCCCCTGCCAACTGAGGATCAAGCCTGCAACTCAGGCATGTGCCTTGACTGGAATCGAACCCAGGATCCTTGAGTCTGCAAGTTGATGCTGTATCCACTGAGCCAAACCAGCTATGGCGTTATTTACGAAAGTTTCCCTCTCTTTGAGATTATACAAATATTTTCCTCAATTTTCTTATAAAATATTTATAGTTTTATTTTTATTATTAGACTCATTCATTCAACTAATATTTGTTGAACAATTATTATGTGTCTGGTCCTCTTCAAATTCTAGTGGGAATATTTTCTATTTGGGAGGGATAAATAATAAACAAATGAACCAATAAATAAACCAGGCTTTTCACCAGAGAATTAGACATAGTGCATGGTAGTGTGAGGCAGGCTGCTTCAGATTGCGTGGTCAGGGAAGGCAGCTTTGAGGAGGTAACATTTAAACTGACTCAGGGCCCACTAATGATTAGTGGGGAAGTACAGGGAGAGGAGGCAGGTAGAAATGGCCTGGGTGTGTGAAGAAGAGCAAGAAGGCTGATGTAGCTAATGCACCAGGGAGAAGGAGGCAGGCACTAGAACATGAGGGCTTAGTGGGCCACAGCGAGGGGTATGGGTTTTATTCTACATTGAAGATTTGTAGTTCACCTGGAATTCGTTTTTACAGGTAAAGTGATGTGGGGATGCGGAGTCTTTTATTTTCCTTTCTCAATCTTTTGAGAAATTTAAGCTTTATAAAACCATGTAGGTTAGCTATTTCTGCCAATTTTTAGCTGAAGAAAGATGAAAGAACTCATACCTAACTCGTTTCTTGATTCCAAGTTCAGTGGCCTCTTTACACACTACGTTAGTTGTCTAAGACCACCCAACTTGAAAAGGGAGAAGCCAGAGTTCACAGCCACCTCCTTGATCACTAGCTACATGAACACCTTGACCATTGAGCTATCTGCCCTTCATGAATTCTCTCAGTGGGTTTGATTGGTCTGCCAATTTGCAAATAGTCATCCCTGCAATAAGTACCTGATTTTTTTTTTTTAAATTTCAAATTTTAAAATAATGGAGATTGAGTGACATGTGAATTTCTTGGTAATTTTAAGATCCAGAGACATTTGCTAAGTTGACCTTGAATATAGGAATACCCTAGGAAACCTCATGGTACCTGGTAACTAGGATATCGGTCAGAATTAAACAATGCTTGTGGTCTTACAACTGAAAGCCCAGAAAAGGGGTCAGGTGCAGGTTTTGGTCTGGACTCTGGCTCCCTAGCTTCTCTAAGATATTGGGGAAAATCACTTACACTCTTTGAGCTTCTGTATCACTTAGGGTTCTTAAATTTGATGCAAGTCATGGAAACAGATTACTACTAACTTAAGTAACGGGATTTATTAGAAGGATACTGCAAGACTCACAAATGCTTCAAAGATTCAAAACCAGGCTTGTAAGCCAACAAAAACCAAGCATCTGATTGACCTGAGCTAAAGGAATGGGGTACTATTAGAGAGTAATGGATGCAGGACAGTCAAACAAACCCCACCCATCCACTATTGCTTTCCTTTTGGTATCTAGCAAGATAATCTTTAGGACATATTTTAGCTCTGGCCTCTTCTGCTTCTCTGTATTTGGAGAAGGGGGAGCAGGAAGAGACGTATGCAAATAGGGTGGTCAGAAATGCTGTGGCCTGATGTTCCCCTGAAGGAGGAAGGCTGAGCCACCACAGCAGTTCAGAGGCTGACCAATTTGGCATGTAGCAAGCAGGAAGTAGAAGGGGTGTTAAGCAAATAAAGGATTTGGGTAGACAAATTATGAGGAACAAGCACAAATGACATTTCTCACAAGCTTTGGAAAATTCCAAACATTTCTAACAGTCGCAGCCTTTCCAGACAAGGGGCAGTCTTGACTGTGTTAAAGAGACCATGGAGGGAGGTTTCTTCATGCCTGCAAACATAGCACCACCACGAGCTTCGCATTTGAATGCCGTGCACGAGTAAACGGTAAACAGACTTTCCAACCACAATTTGCAAACGTGCAGCCCACAGGTCAGGCCTAGCTTTGCAAAGAATTTGTTACCAAGAGATAAAAATACGATTTCCAACTTTTCTTGGCGGGGGGGGGGGGGGGGGGAAGAGGTTCTGGCAACACTGAGCCTGCAGAACAAGCTTTCCAGTCTTCTGTCCGGATGCTGGCTCTCCAGCTTGTCATACCCGCCTCATGGCCCTCCCCACTCATAAGGATGCCTGCCTGGACCCTGGGAGCATTACAGGTTCAGACCCGAGCCATAACCACTTCCAAGACAACCCAGCAAAGGCCAGCATGTGCGCTGCCATCTTGAGGATCTACCAGTGTGGGCTTCAAGTCCCTTTCAAGTCTCTAACCTCTGTCCTTGGGACTCCTTTGGCAGGACCCCTTTGCTCCCGACATACACCCGTCATGCTAGAAACAACCATTTCCTCTACCCCAATCATGCCACATCTCCCTCTCCTGTAAGAGCCAATCTTCAGGCATCTGTTCTCATAAATCACCTTGAATACCTGATGGTGGAAAAGGCAGCAAAGAATCCCCACTTAGCATCTTCTAAAACGTAGGGGGCGGGAACACAACTATGCAACTGGAAACACTTCCCTGTCTTCTTGGAAGACAATCCCTGAGGAAAATCTCCCTCCAGGGCCATTTGTTCGTTTATTTTCTGCAAATAGCTGTGGGTATGCAGGGCACTAATAGATGATGATTCCCCTAAGTGAGTTTTCTCTGCACACAGCTGATCCCATCTGGGTGCTGCTCCTCATATATTTCCATCCCTGAACTACAGCCCTCAAGGTAGGGCAGGTACCATTCAGCTCGCCCTCTCCTTTGTGGAATCCATTCCTAACAAAGCAGCCACAACATTTCCTTGCTTGAAACTCTTCGATGATTTCTGAGTTGCTTTAAGGCTAAACTTTAAGATGCTTAGAGACGTCTACAAATCCTTGCCTTGTTTGCGTCTTCCTTATCTCTCAGACCTCACCTCCCTTTACATCTTCCCTGGCTCACTTCAATTTGACCACTTGGGCCTTCTTTCAATTTGTGGAAGAGGCCAAGCTCTTTCCCACCACAGGTCCTCGATGCTTGCTGCCCCCTTTTCCTGGAGGGCTCCCCTCTCTCCTAACACGTATTATCCTCCAGCCCTCAGCTTTTAAATCCTACTTTGGCAGAGAAGCCTTCTCTATCTTTTCTCTCCCTCCCACTCTCCCACCTACTATCCCCATTTCTCATAGCACCATGTCTCTGCTATTATTCTCAACACAATTTGTGTGTTTCCCCATCAATCTGTAAACTCTGTGAGAGTAGAGACCTTACCATTTTATGCCCAATGACTATTCAGAGTTAGCCCAGTCTCATCCATAATAGAATTGGTGAGCAATATATGTATATATTTATCAAATGAATGAAAAAAACCCCATTCCATTCCCCAGGACAGTCAACACCAGAGGTTTTCTCATGCCTGCAAATGTAGTCAGTCAATACCACACTATGTGATCTTCTGGAGTGAACTAGACAGCCTTTCTTAAAAATGGTATGTTTTTTTATTACAGCCTCATATAAGCAGCTTTATCAGAAGATAAGCCTGGTGGAGAGGACAGCTATTAAACTTTTAGTTTACCCAGAGTAGACCATCAACTAGGAACTGGATAGAAAAACAAATCAGGCCCCACTGCAGACCACCTAAGCAGAGAACTCCGGGGTGTGGCCCAGCATTCTGGGCTGTAACAAGCCTTCCAGGTAATCCTGATACACGCCCACGCTTGAAAACCATCCTTCAAGGCTTTCCAGTGTTTTTTGTTTGTTTGTTTGTTTTTAAAACCTTCTTTTTACATTAAAAATTTTGGTCCTTAATCCTTGGCACAGTCCTGCTCGCAGAATGGTATAATCTTAAACTCCCCCAGAGGGAAATACAAAAATGCACAAACGCGAATGAATAAAAAACCAAAAAAACTCGGCACAAAGGCAGAAGAGCCAGGGTGCTGGCAAACCTTTGTTCATCCGTCCCCGGCCTGCCCACCTCCGGTCTGACACTGCTTTTTTCCACCCAGAAAAGCAGTCACTCCAGTTATAAGAATGGTTGTGTGCCGCGCATAACGTTTTCAACCAGATCGTCCTCCTCGGGGCGCGGGAGACAGTGGTGGCTGCGGAGCCCAGTCCCATCCCGCCCCGGACCCGGCACAGCAGTAACTGAGACTGAAAGCATTTCCAGCTGCGGGAGCTCCGGAGGCTCCGGCCGCCGGCCCCGCCCCTCGGCTCCCGGAAAACCCGCACTGGATTCCACCCACGGAGGGACGGGAGCAGCCGCCCGCGGCGCCCCTCACTGCGCATGCGCCCTCGCCCCGCCCGCTCGGAGCCGGAAGCGGAGCTCGCAGCCGGCCGGCCTGGCCAGGGCGTCGGCACCGGCGGCCATCTTGGCTTCCCCGGCGAGGCGGCGAGAGGGGGAAGAAGTTGTAGGGTGGGGGCCGAGCGAGGAGGAGGAGGGGAGAGGAGGGGGAGGAGGCCGCGGTGGGGCAGGGCGGGGACTGCCTGCCCGCCTGGGTTGCGGAAGTGGTAGCCGCTGACCGAGCTCGCTGCTTTCTCGCTGCCGCTTCGGCTTCCCGGTTCCCCCCGCGGACGGAGATCCGGGCGGGCCCGGCTGCGGATGGTCAGATAGCTCCTGTCCTCCGCCGCCGACCCCTGGCCACGACCAGTACGGAGCAGACGGCGGCCGCGGCAGCAGCAGGCGAGGAGGAAGATGGCGGGACGGCTGCCGGCCTGTGTGGTGGACTGTGGCACCGGGTACGGGGGCTGGCGGGCGGGGGTGGGGAAACTGAGGCCGGGATGGGAACATGGCGGGGAGGAGGAGGAGGGGGAGGAGGAGGAGGTGGGGGAATGAATGGAGCGGCCAGGTGCCGCCGCCTGCGGTGTCAGCTCCGGCCGGGTCCGGGTGCGAGGGGTGGGGCCGCCCGGCGAGACAGGCCGCCCGCGGTCCCGGGTCCACACCGGGACCTGGGCGGGTGCGCGGGGCCGAGGACCCCCACGGGGTGGGTTTCTCCGCGAAGCCCTCCCGCCCTCCCCCGCCGCGGGGGGCTGCCGCCCGGGGCGCGGGGACGCGGAGCGGGGGTCGCCGCGCCCGGCGCCGGCTCGCCCTTCCCTCCGCGCCCGGCTCCCTTCCCTCGGGTCCCTCCCGGCCGGGGCCGGGGGCCGGGGGCCGGGGGCGCGGACCGGCCCGGCCGAGGAGCCAGAAAAGGGAAGCGCTCCTCTCCCGATCGGTTTTGCAAGATCGCGGTGACACCCCTGCCCGGGGTGTGGGTGGGGAATGGGCAGCATCGGCCTCGGAAAATGGGAAGCTAAATCGGGGCTTTCATTGGCCGCCCACCTCCTCCTCCTCCTTCTCTTCCTCCTCCAACTCCCGGCCTTTTCCAAAATCCTCAGCCTGCGTCCTAACCGGCGAACCCAGGCACATTTCAATCCGAGAAAGATGTCATGTGTTACTCCCATCGCCTCGAAAAAGTCCCCCCAGTGAGCAAGCGCGCTGCAACTTCCTCAGTTTTGTCAAAGCCGCTTCCTGCTTTCAGCCTTTTATACCCTTATAAGGTAGTTTTTTCGTTTCCAAACCTGAGCACCTCTTAGGAGAACTTTCAAAATTTAAGCCGATTTCAAGTAGACCCGAGTTACCCCGGTGCTAGGTGTCAAGTTATGTGGACTTAAATTATATATATATATATGTGGACTTAAATTATATATAATTTGTGTGTATGTGTGTATATATATATATATTTGTGTGTGTGTGTATATATATATATATACACACACACACACACACACACACACACACACACACACATATATATTTCAGTTATTACTTTGTTACATTTTACAATATTACACAATATATGTATTTGTGTTCCGGCGATGGAGGATGGGAGGCACCCAGGAAAATAATTTTTAGTGCTGTACATTCATTCTGGGACGGTGTCTCACAGCAAAAAGGAAGGCAATGGAGTGAATAAGGGGATGTGCGGTTCATCGTAGATCTGTAGTGTCATTTGCGGAAATATAGAATGGTGTCAAAAAGTGGTCTCTCCTTTTGCATTATTAGGCGTTGTAAAGTGTTATACCGCACTTTGGAGCTATATATAGGAAACATTGTCAATATTTTAATGCAGAGGGACTGCTTTATGTTACTGTATTGGAAGTGTTTCCTTTTTGTGGATGTGCCCTGCGCTGACTTATTACATCTGTTGACTTCCAAAATACTCCCAATTTTTTTGGGGGGTGGGGTGGGGTTGGGAGAGTGGATTGATTGACAGTCTTCATCTCCCACCCTTTATTATGGGGCAAACCACTCCTCTATTTGCTCTCTGTAAAATTTCTCTTAACTTTATGCTGGTGTGGCAGTTTCTGAAATCCCAGCCATGCATAGGGAAACAACCCAATTATTAATATTTTCCCTTGGGGAAAATTAGCCTAGTTTAGCCTTGGTTACATGTATTTTTTTTTTTTTTTTTTTTTTTTGTGGACAGCTTATTAAAGCTACTTTTTCTTAATCCAGTCTTATCGATACTTTTCAGTATTTTCTTTTTCTCCCTTTTTACTCTAGTAAAACTCTGAATAGTTTTATGCTCAGGGTTAGTTTTAAAATCAGATTTGGCCTGACTGAGAAGGAATTTTCAGTGTTTTGTTAAACTGGAAAATTTTGCCACATAGTTAATATTTTTATACTTTAGAAATTATTGGGTTGTCAATAAAATTAGTATAGATAATTGTCACCCTCACCCTCGTAGATAACATCTTAAGTAGGATGTTACCTTGTCTTCCTTCATTTTTTCCTTTTGGAAATACAGTTTCGGTTATATTTGAATTAGTATACTAGATATTTCATTGAAGTTAACTGTCCTTAAGTGACCTTTCTGATAGGACAACTTTGACCTTAAAACACCTGCCAAGTGACCAGGAGGTGTGGGGAAGGTTCAGTTTATATTTAGGATACTTTTATTTTAACATTTCAGTTATTACTACTTTGTTACATTTTACATTATTACATTAGTTTTATTAATACCTCACAAAGAGGGGTTGTTAATTGGACACTCATTATGATTTCAATGGAACTGATTAGGATTCCTCATTGCCCATTACTTTCTTTTACAAAACATCTATCACAATTGAAATTCCATCTTTAGGGATACATTTATCTTGGTCTTCAAAAGGCTTTTTGGTCTTTCAGTTGCCTTTTAATGCAACTCTTAGAATAAACCTTTAGCTTTATTAACACATAAAGAATAAGCTCATTGAGATTGGACGGTGGGACAAGCCTTGATAGGCTTACTTGATAGGGAGTTTTGTTTCAGAATAGTGTGTGGTCTCCAGATGCAAATTATGCACCTGTAATTTCTTTTAAAAAATATATATTTTATTGATTTTTTACAGAGAAGAAAAGAGAGGGAGGGAAGGAGGGAGGGGAAGAGAGAGAGAGAGAGAGAGAGAGAGAGAGAGAAACATCGATCAGCTGCCTCCTACACACCCCCTACTGGTGCCCACAACACAAGATACATGCCCTTGACTGGAATCGAACCAGGGACCCTTCAGTCCACAGGCTGATGCTCTATCCACTGAGCCAAACCAGTCAGGGCTGCAACCTATAATTTCTGTATTTCTTTGTGCTTTTGAGAATGCATTCATGTCTGAGGTCTAATTGCAGTTGCCCACTTAATATAAGTGAAAATGAAAACCTTAATCAGGTTGCTCATTCCATTTAATTATATACATTAGGCAAAAGGTGACTGAAGAAAGTGGCCATCTATGAAACTTGGTGATCTTCGGTAAGAAAAACTGTAAGAGTTAGGAAATGAAACTTAGAACTAGAATTTAAAAATCCTTCAGCAAAGATCCTTTATCTCAACATATGATGAAGAACACTTAAGCTCAGATTATAAAAAATAACTCCTTTTGAAAAAAAATTTAGAAAGAAATAGTTCTTTCATATTGACACCCTATCTACAGGCTTTTTTTGGTTTGTATTAGAATAGTGCTGCATAATAAAATTTGGCCACAAAGATTCTCATTGATAGAATTGCTTGCTTAAGAACTAAATTACAGAACTTAAAGTTACAACCAGTGGTGAGGAAACATTTAAAAAACTTTTTTTATTGATTTCAGAGTGGAAGAGAGAGCTAGAAACAATAATGAGAGAGGATTATGGATCGGCTGCCTCCTGCACGCCCCCTACTGGGATTTAAGCCTGCAAAGCCGGCATGTGCCTTCAAACCAGGGACCTTTCAGTCCCCAGGTCAATGTTCTATCCACTGAGCCAAGCCGGCTAGAGTGAGGAAAACATTTTTTAAAAGCACTTTTTAACACATGAAAAGTTAAAATTATCTTGTTATTTTTTTTTGCATGTTTTCACTCACATTTCAGTCAGGCCAAATAAAGGAGCTTTTAATGTACTTTTATTATGTTGTGGCTTGGTTGCAGAGCTTTGCATTGTAAAATTTCTCTTACCCCTTTAAGGCATGTTCTCCCCCCCACCCCATATATATATTGCATCTGTAAATTATTTCCATTATGATAGCAGAGATTAATAGACTTATTGTAGAACTATTAGATATATTTAGATCTAGGATAAATTAAGGAATTTCCCCAATCGACTTAACTTCTTAGCAGTCTTAAAATGTAAGCAAAAATATTTTCTTGGAGTTCATTCATAAGGAGCTTATTATTCATCCTGTAACCGCATTCTAGCAATGAGTATAGATGGGATGACCTTGAGAGCAGAGCAGAAGGGCTAAGTGCATAAGTGCATGACGGAAAACAAGTGGAAAGTTCATGTTTCTTACATTAATTCTATACATATTATTTTGTAATGCTATTTCTCCAGCTATCTCCAAGAGCAGAAATAGTCACTATATCTGTTATCCTAAAATAGTTCATTAAAATATTTATTCTTTCATGGGTTATGTTTTGCATGCTGTTTGAAGTAATAGACATGTTCCTGTTGAGAAGTTAATCTTAGATTTTCCTAAACTCTCTCCTTTTTTTTCTTTCCTGATTATTTTGAGATGAAACATTGATTTTTAGATTAGATATATGATGTATCTAATAAACTTTCCAGCCTTATTATAAAATGCAGTTCAAAATTTTTATTTTTAAGCATTTTGAAAGAAAAGATCCATCAGTAGAGGACTCACTGGTCAGGTTTTTTTAGTTATCTTATTTAAACTTGTGACAACTATTTTTTAACCTAATTTTATAAAAATGAGAAAATTAGATTAGAAAATTTAAATTACCCTTTTAATGCCATGTAGTTAGTAGCTAGTATAAAGAATAAAAATCTGGAATAGTGAAATGTTGAAAATAGGGATTATAGAATATTTTCAGGGTGGAATGCAGTAGGATCAGATGTAAAAGAGGTATTTGGGATGCAGTTATGGCATCTGGCACAGAAGTATGAACTAATTTTTTTTTTTTAATGAGTGAATGAATAAATGAATGAATAAACAAGAATTAGGGGTTTGACTTACAAAACTGCTTCAGAAATAGCCATACTCAATGACTCAGGATCTCAAGGGTTACGCCTAGGAATATTCATTTTAATAGGTTTCCTAGATGATTTTTAATTAGCCCTTCTAAATACTAGCTTTGCAGAGTGGGCTGAAATAAGGCATTGGCAGAGAGAAATTTGGGAAAGGTTGTTTCTTTTATTTAGTTTGTACCTTTCTTCTGGCAATCATATTGCTATTTATTTATGATTAGCAAGATCTTTGCAATCATAGCTGTTTTTCAGTTCAAGCTTTACCATT